TCACTCTACAACTGAATCATTAGATAAACTTTATGATAAGTATTTTAAAGATTATTGATCATACTTCCAATTTTGTAAGAGATATTCTTGACTCATAGCCCATAGGATCCCCATGCATTTCGTTTACTGTAATTCACAAGAAAAAAAAAAAAAAAATTTGGCAACAAATATATTTTAGATACACTTTTAGTAATATCTTGATAACCTTGAAGTTTCATTAAGAAATTGTTTTAAAAGTAAGTTTACTTTCAACTTTTTAGTTCATGTATTAAGTAGAATTAAGAAAAGCATGTAAAAAAAAAAAAATTTTATTTTTTATTTTTTTATTTGTATTGTTTATTAAGTTTGAAGTTATAGCTATGACTTATGAATTCAATATTCATTATATCATATGGTGCTGTAATTCAAGTAAAAAAAAAGGCTAGGTGAAGGGGAGGGGGTTAATCGCTACGTCGCCCTCCCTCAAATCCGCCACTGCATCACTTGTAATTTTTTGAATAGTACATTTTATCAAATAAATTCAGTTATAGGCGATAGGTAATACAAAACTGTATAAATCACGTTTATTGTTATTAAAATTCTAAAACATTTATTATAAGTCAAGATTTACCTAATTAAATATACAATATGTTATTATAAAACATACATTTTATAGTTTGATTTAAAACGAAAATAGTTGTATTGGTAATAGTGTATCTTGTACCCAATCATCTGAACCAAAATCTTGGTACTTCGAGTTAGGTTTGGTTTTACTGGTTAAGCGGAGCGATGTGTGCTTTTATTTTTATTTGTTGTGTCTGTACACGATAAGTAGTCGAAATAATGCTTTGGTTTTCAACTTCAGTATCTCTTCTGGTGGTAAAGTGAATCTAGTTGGTTGATGGGTCAAAATTCCGTATACATTCAAAAGTGTCAGGAAAAACAAAAAAAAGTTACGGAAAAACTGGAATTTTTACGCAACATCGATTTTGGATTTTAGTGTAAACTAAAAAAAAATACTGTAGAATGTAGATACATGACATTTTTTTTTTCATTTTTTTATATTAGCATTTTCTATACACCATACGATACATAAAATATTTTGACTCCTGTTATTGAGCTGTTATTAATTAAAAATTCTTGCTCGGTCAAAAAATGTAAATGTAATACAAGGGACCTCATAAGTTGTTTGGGGGAGAACGACCAAAAACGTACTCTTCCCTTTTCGGCCGATTCATTTTTTAGCCAAAACAAAAAGTTCAATAATGATTAATGTAAGTTTATAAGTTGCATACAATTTGTAACATATATAAATTATATATTATGATAATAATTATAATATATTTAATTATTGACAAATTCTAACTTATACTTTTAATAATTTTCAAAATTATATTTGCAATAATTTTACAAAAATTATATATTATTTTATTTTTTAATTTATTTTACACGTATTAATATTATATTTAATAATTATTGACAACAATTTCATATTACCTTTTATAATTATTATTATTTATTTAGGTATATATTTTATAATTTTTATACAACTTAGGTATAATAAATATTTAATAATTTTCAGTAATTATAACATAAAGATCCTAAGCATATAGGTGATATTAATTATTATTGAACTTTTTATTTTGGCTGAAAAGGGAAGTGTAAGATTTTGTTCGGAAAGTGAATCGTTTTGCAGAGCTGTTAACGAACATTTTCTATTTGTTAGTTTTTTTTCTAAGTACGTCAATAAAATTTTATTATTTGGTAAAAAGTTTGACAATAAGACTCCCTCACACATTGTTACAATATCAGTTAAAAATATTTAAAAAAACAAGCAAGATTTTTTTATGAGAATTTAAAGTTTAAATGTTGACTAAATGTATCAATTTTAAGATTTACAAATCATTTTGTAGTTACAAATTTATGAAATTTTTAATGTTTAAAGTTTAAACAATGTTCCATGTAAGTATTTCATTCTCTGTAACCAAAAAATCAAAAAAAATTTTTTTGTATTTAGTTTTTTTTTTTTGGTTGGACAGTGCCTAATTACTGTTTCTGTTTTTCCTTATCAGCTACGTCTTCCAGCGTCTTTCTTGCGAGGTTCCAAATAGAAGGGTGTGTATGGCTTACCAACTTAGAAAATCTGTTATTGAAACCCTCAGATTCCACATTTCAGGTGTAAAAAGAGCTGGTACTTTTCGTGATTTTAATTTATTTTCTTTGCCAATAGTAATAAATAGTATATAGGTAGTATACTAGTATAATAATAGCCAATACTAATCTGTATCATGTATGTCCCACTGACGCTTATCTAATCAAAAGTCCACTAAGTCTTGTGCTTCTTAAGGCATGATTTTACGCAAATGAGAAATTCCTTTAAATGTACCTATAACTACTATATCAGAATCAGATACTGAGATACCATACCCGCAAAAATGCCCAACTATTGATTTGTCCACAAAATAATATGAGCCAATAATATTACTTATATTATTGGCTCACATTAGTCTATACGGTTGTTTTTGAATCACAACAAAATAAGAAAAATGTTTTACGAGGATTTGTTAATTTACGGGTTGAATCCAATGTCACTTCAAACACTCACCAAATAGTTATTCAACTTTCCGATAAAGTTCTTAAACTCAAAATCGGTTAGAAAATAAAAATATATGTACCCAGCCTAAAATATATTTATGTTAACGTTTAGAAATTTGTGTGGTGTTTGATAAATGCTAATAAATATTAACATTCGGTGAAAATTACAGGTATCTAGGGTTATTTTTTTTTAGAGTTACACCCAAAATCAAAATCGATTTAGTCAAATACTGAATTTGAGTAAAAATTCACATTTTTTTTTTGTTTTTCTCAACGCGTGTGAAAAATACTGAAAATTGACTTCTCGAGATTGGAATGGGACCAAATTAACTTGCCCACCAGAAAAGTTACTGAAGTTGAAAATCGAAATATTATAATTATATGTTTATATCGACTACTTATCGTACTTATTGACTATTATAAAAATTTAAACACAAAAAAAAACAATACACATCATCATTGTAAAATCAATACATTAATCCCTCCGTTCAGAATCTAAAATTCATAGTCGAAGCCATCATTATCAATGGCTTTCATAAAAATATATAAGCATTATAAATTAGATATAAAAATTTAAAAAGTAACATGAAAAAGCATACCGATTATCAACGCACAAAACACAAGAATACAATAGCTGGGCTAAAAAATAAATAACTCACTGATCACTGTACCTAATACTATAAAGTTAATTACACAACGTTGGTTCTACAGAAGAACATTTCATTGAAATTTATAGGAAACAAATGAAAAAAAAAATTAAGGACTGTAAATGCAATAAATAAATAAAGTCTATAAAAAAATGCTAATTCCAGCATTCGGTGAAAATATATTATGTATCTACTGTTTTTAGGGTTCCGTACCAAAAAACGGAACCCTTATAGATTCGTCATATCCGTCTGTCTGCCCATCCGGGTGTCACAGACACTTTTTTCCGAAACTATAAAAACTATACCGTTGAAACTTGGTAAGTAGATGTATTCTGTGAACCGCATTAAGATTTTCACACAAAAATAAAAAAAAAATAATACATTTTGGGATTGAAACTGAAACTCAAAGATACAAAAAAATCTATTAGGTAAGTATAATTATAAATACTATATTTACCTATCTCATGTATTATGCACTTTTATTCTGTTTTCAGATATATTCTAAAATACCCCATTTTTCCTCATAGATCCATTAATATTTAGGGGGTCTAACATCATTAACATCAATGTGAGTGGGGAGTTTCGATCCTACACAACTAAAAAGGGAGGGGACTTTTGACGCTAAGCCCCCTCAAGCCCCCCCGCCCCCCGATTTCCAACAATGTTTCTCCTATTTATTTGGTAGAACTAAAGAAGAATGATCAAATTTGAAAGTCTTGCCTAGGTACTTCAATAAAATCACTAGATCGGCCTTATTGGTTATATGTGTTTAGAAGTCGGTTATAGGCTCTTGAAAACACGATAAATTTCAAAAATGTAATATTTAAACCATATTAAGATTTAAGACTTAATCATAAAAAAAGCTAAATTAAACCACAGAACTAAGGTGGATTGAACACATTGATAACATATTAATAATATAATTATTTATTATATTATAATTATTTGTTTATGTATTATCTATGATTGAACATCAATAACATTGAGTCAGATATTGAGATACCTACGTATCTATTAAACTTTAAACTTATACCCTTAGATCATAATATTATACTAAATATTTAGGCAGTAGCTTTATCCATTGTAGGTATATGAGATCTAACTATCTATCTATCTAAGCAAATACTGTCCGGTGCCCTACACTATATTATACTATTACTATAGGCGAATACTATAAATAATCATTGGGCATCTGACAGTTGGGTCCCCCGAGATAACAGCTTATCATATCCAGATTAATCTCATGGAATAAACGCTTAAAACGGTTAGGTGGTTACTGGTTAGGTAGTATAGTCCGATAGTCGTATATTATATTGTTCTACTCGGCAATTTTTACAATTTTTAGATGATATTATTTACCACAACCACGGTTATCGCCACGGACTGACCGCGGTCAATATAATTTTTTTTGTTATTCCTCCAAGAAAACCCCCCGATCGACGACACATTCGTGATTTGCAATTTTATAAATTAGAAGTAGCATCTTACAAGGTAATTTATTGTTGATACGAGTTACGAAAGCTCAAAAGTTGTGTTACTCTTCTTTGTACGTAAAGACGTGAATTGCGATTTAACTAATAAACTCAATTGTTCAATCAAACATTTGTAAGTGATATATGATAAAATCTAGTTAATTCCTTTTCACTTTATATACTTCTTTGTAATTGTGTAAACGATGATATTAGAATAAAAAAATAATGTATTCTATTTAACATAATATAGATCAAGATGATGGACAATTTGGAACCTCTGACCACCGATGGCGGTCGTATAGTAAAAATGGAAGTAGACTACAGTGCGACGTGCGATGAAAAAATTGCTGTCGCCGAAAGTTTAGCTTCCAGCGGTAAACTACAAGAAGCATTGGATACGTTACTCGTGCTTGAAAAACAAACTAGAACTGTGAGTTATCTCTTTTATTATTTTAATACAACTACATATCTGATCATATTATGAATTGTTATTTATATCTAAACTCATAATTTATATACTTACCTATGTAAAGTTAAGTACCTAACTATGTACCTATGTCACCCGTTTCTTAAAGAAATCTATTTTGAAAGATTTTCATTAGTTTCAATTGAATGAGCTCACATTTTTATTACCATATTTTTAAATATTGTTCATGTAATATTTAGGGTGTAACAGGGCTATTTAACAAATATTCCACGTTTCTAATTAAAATTTGTTAAGTAGTCCTGTTACACATTATATAAGTGTGAATAAAATGTGTTATGACCTAAGTTTGAGAGCCAAAAATACTACTGATTTTATAATAATTAAGATTCTGGATGATAATTTGTACACATATATAATTACCTATTTTTAAGTAAAAAATCATCACTGTCTGATGTTATATTTATGTTTAAGGGATCCGATATGGCTTCAACTAGTCGAGTTTTGGTTGCGATTGTAAAAATATGTTTTGAAGCTAAAGAGTGGGCATTACTTAATGAACATATTGTTATGTTAACTAAAAGAAGATCACAGTTGAAACTTTCGGTTGCAGCTATGGTCCGAGAATGTTGTACATTCATTGACCAAACACCGGATAAAGAGACAAAATTAAAATTAATTGAATCCCTTAGAAACGTTACTGAAGGAAAGGTAAATAATTCAATTTTTATTTTAAATTAAACAATCTGATGTTACAAATTTAAATGTTGTATTATTGAACTTCTTTATTAATTTAGTTTATTAAAATTAAAATATAAATATTTTAGAACAAATTCACAATTAATTATTCATGTTATTCAGATATATGTGGAAGTAGATAGAGCTCGTCTCACACAAAAGTTGGCTCAAATTAAAGAAGATGAAGGTGATGTAACTGGCGCTGCTAATATCATTCAAGAATTGCAAGTGGAGACCTATGGTTCAATGAAAAAACAAGAAAAAGTTGAACTTATTTTAGAACAGATGCGATTATGTTTGGCTAAGAAAGATTATATTCGGACACAGATCATATCAAAGAAAATAAACACAAAGTTTTTTGACGATGTTAAACCTGAAATACAGCAACTTAAATTAAAATACTACAAGTAAGAATGTTTGATCATTTTTCAAATAGTTATTATAACATATATTTTGCAGATTAATGATTGAGCTGGGTGAACATGATGGTCAATACTTAGATGTTTGCCGCCACTATAGAGCTATTCAAGTTACTCCTGAGATTAATACCGATGAAACAAAATGCAATGCTGCTTTGCAAAATGCAATATTATACCTCATATTAGCTCCATTCGATAATCATCAGTCTGATTTAACTCATCGAATTCTTGAAGATGAAACTTTACAAAAAATCCCAAAGTACAAGTATGTATTATTAAATTACATTTATTTATGTTCCTAATGTTTTTGTTTTATTATTATTATTAATAGATCATTCCTGCAATTATTTACCACTATGGAATTGATTCAATGGAAAGAGTTGTGCAAGGATTATGAAATTGAACTAAAATCTGGGTCTACAGCTACAGATGTATTTTCAGAAAGCACCGAAAAAGGAAAAAAACGTTGGGCTGATCTTAAAAATAGAGTTGCTGAACACGTATGTATTAAAATATGGTTTAAAATCTTAAACAAAATTTGATAATAATTTTTACATATTTTAATAGTTATTGCTAATTGAAAATTAAAATTGTTGCTTTTTTATTGTGTGTATAATATATAGAATGTTCGTGTAATGGCTAAATATTATTCAAGAATCAGAGTTGTTCGAATGTCTCAGTTATTAGATATGACTTTAGAGGTTGGATGAATTATTGTTATTCTTCTTTAATTTAATTTTAAATGATTTTGTTATAACTAAAACTCTAAATATCTGTTGCAGGATACTGAACAATTATTATCAAACATGGTCGTAGATAAATCTGTAACAGCCAAAATCGCTCGTCCGTCAAGGTGTGGTTGAGTTTTTCAGTTGGAAAATCTGTAAACGAAGTGTTGAATGAATGGTCATTTGGACTCAACGACCTCATGAAGCTAGTAAACAACACTACTCATCTCATCAATAAAGAACAGATGGTCCATAAACATTTACTGTCTCATTAAGAAATAATTAACATTTGTAAATTTCCCCAAAAAAAAAACACAAATTTAATGTTATTTTTAATTACGGTAAATTATACTCATCCAAAAGTTTTTTGCTCGTTTTCAATTTTATAGTTTGAATGAGTATGAAATATTTATATTTTTTACAATAACTATACACATTAAACAATGATAGGGGCGAATAAGGAGTGAATTACATATTAATGAATGAAAAAAAAAAAAAAAATTGTGAATATTATAGGATAAATTCAATATAATATAATTAAATTAATAAGTGCTTGTTATGTCTAAGTACGGCTGGCTTTAAATTATTTTGTAGTTTATAATCCTGCAACAATTATTCTAGGATCCTCGATGGCAGCTTTAATTTTGCGTAAGAATAGTACAGCTTCACGTCCATCTACAAGTCTATGATCGTATGTTAAGGCTATGTACATCATGGGTCTGACACAACACCTAATTAATAAAAGAGAAATATGTTAATAATTATTTCCAAGACAAAAAAACTAGAGTAATAGATAGTAACCTGTCCTTTAATAGCAATAGGCCTTTCAAAAGTTCCATGCATTCCCAAAATAGCAGATTGTGGTGGGTTGATGATTGGTGTTCCCATTAGAGATCCGAAAACTCCACCATTACTGACAGTAAAAGTACCACCGTCCATGTCTTCAACGTCGATAGCACCTCTCTTCGCTTTTTCGCTGAGAGCAGCAATGGTTTTTTCAATATCTGCATAATTCATATCTTGTACATTGCGCACGACAGGCACTAATAGACCCTATTTATAAAATGTTATACATTTAAAACAATTTGTTAAATAGTGCTATTAATATTGAAATTTATACTTTAGGAGTTGCTACAGCTACGGATATATCAACATAATCTCTGTAGATAATTTCATTGCCTTCTATTACAGGCATTGACAACGGTTGATCTTGTAGGGCATAAGCAGACGCTTTTAAGAATGCAGACATAAACCCTAATTTCAAACCGTGTTTCTTTTGAAAAGCATCAAGGTTGGTTTTACGGAAATCCATGATCGAGCTAAAATGTAATTGTAAATTGTCAGGTATACACTATGCATTCTTTAAATAGTAATACTTTAAAAAATGATGATTACCTCATGTCAATCTCATTAAAAGTGGTCAACATGGCATTAGTGTTTTGAGCATCCTTCAATCGTTGGGCAATACGTAATCGCATTCGGTTCATTTTAACACGGTGTTCTGATCTGGTTCCAGCTATCTCTTTGGTGGGATCAGTTGGTGGTACTTTAACAGTGGCAATTTGTTGTTGAGACATTTTAGGGGCAGCTGCCGGTGGTGCAGCTACTCTTGGTGGTGGGGGCTGTGATACTTGTGGGGGAGGTGTTGCAGGAACAGGGGCAGCAGCTGCTGCTGCTACAGGCACAGGTGGTACTGGTTCAGCAGCTTTAGGGGTATCTTCAACCTTAGGAGCAGCTTCAACTTTAGGAGCTGCTTTGGCTGGTGCAGGTCCTCCTTCTAATCATTTATTGAAAGTTTCATACATGTGAAATAAACTAAAAAAAATTATTTCTACCCGTGATTGTAATTGTACACAAATCTTGTCCAGCTTTGACAGTAGCACCATCTTCAACAAGTCGCTTTGCAAGAATTCCGTTGACTGGTGAGGGGACAGGAACTGAAGTCTTAAATAATAAAAAAAAAGCAAAGCGATATTAATTTACATTGACTTAAAAGAATATTATCTATTTTTATTATAATTTATAAGACATATTTTCTTTTGCGGAAGAGTGCGAAAGCAGTTCCTGCGGCGTCGTCGATTAAAACCGAAAAAAAAAAGACGTATTTTCTTACTTTATCTGTTTCGATTTCACAAACAACTTCATCTACTCCTATTGTGTCGCCAACATCTGTGAAAGAAAAAAATAATTAAACTATATCACACTACAGGAGCCAATTGAGTACAATAACTGCCAGGTTAGTTAAGTTCTATTTTTGTATATATTGGATTGTACAAGTACGATTGAATAAAATAATATATTAGAAAGTCAATTAGGTACTTATCAATTTATCATGTATTACTTACTTTTTTCCCATCTCATGTCACCTTCGGATACTGAATCAGCAAAAGCTGGTGTCTTTAAAACGTGTTCTTCCCCTGTTAATAAATATTATATTATCCAATAAATGTTAAATGTGTATGTTATGTTTTTCTTACAGAGGATTGCACTTGTTTGAAAATAGCGACATTGATCAAAAGACCTTCTATTGGATGAACTAGAAAGTGATATCCTGAGAAAAAGGTGTAATTAATACACTGACATTTAAAAATCTCTGGGTACTTACCTATCTTGACTACTCACGTACTAACGGAAGGACGTAGCAACTGTTGACAATCCCCTCCTTGGACAGGCGGTCTCGTTCCCCCTGTGGGCCCTTCGTGTTTCGTTGTTGACCTGGATGGTGTGGGCAAAAGAGATGAAACAATTAGATCATAATTGATTTAACGCTGTGGTCTTGTGACGGTCCACCAGTCCGCGTACCGTCCGCCGGCCGATGCGTAAAACTTACCTCGAACTGGGCCGTCCGTCTGGCGGCGGCCTTGTCTTCAGTGCGTTCTTGGGGAGGCGCCTGACGACGTGCAACATACCGTAGGCCATTTCGGCTTACAGCGACCAATCGTTAAACACGTTCGGGGAGAGGAGTACAAAAACCGTGGACTGTGTTCGTCACGTCGTCGGCCTTTGACTTACCTGTGTGACGTGAAACTGTGGAGGGGGCCCGAAAGAGAAGGCGAGGTCAGTGCTTTCGTCTGGTTCCCAGAGTCTCGGCAATATTAATAAATGTTCGGGTCACTTTTGTCGTACTTTGCGTAGCAGCGGCGAGAGAGAGGTCAGTGTCATCGACGACTAGGAACGGAGTGGAGGATAACAGTGGGTGATAAGAACGGCCTAACACATGTTTCGCGCACTCGTGACTTGATATTTTATTCGTCGCGGCAATTACGCGAAAATTCAAAACGGGCAACGTGAAAAATAATACGAAGACGAATGGCGACGAAATTACGGACTACGGTCAAATTGGAAATTAATCATCGACACATTCCGTTTCTATCACGACGGATAAGAATTGCAAACACTTTCAGCGGCGGGGCAACGTCGTCGTCTGTCGCGTTCAGACTTCAGATCAGCTTTCATCGTCGTCATACAGCTCCCATACGGTTAATATAATACAAATTGTTATTATATATATTAACCGTGTGGCCCATATAGGACGTACCTACTTATACGAGATATTTTATGAATAATAAACTTAATTATATAATATAATTCACTGACAAACGGTAAGTACCGCGCTTTAAGCTGTATAATTATATACCTATTATTCCGGATTTGACCCGCGACAGTGTATCGCTGTTATATTATTATATTTTAATTTTATTGTACTGTAAAAACATTAATTAGCCAACGCCATATCGCGAGCGCAGAAAACACGATTAAAATACTTACGATCACCTATATCTATATACATGTACACGCGTCCCAATTATATCAATATGATATTTATTTGATATGATATTTAATTATATTTATATCAATTATCTACATTGTATCATATATGTAACATTATAGCTACCACATAACCCGATTACAGAATATATTGTAACGAACTAATAAACAACAATTGAATATTGATTTAGCAATATACTGGGTGATTCTTTTATCAAACAACACTCATTATTTCAAAAAGTGTAAATTTTTTTAAAAATATTTTTTTACATACCTAGTTTCAAGTCGCTTATAAAACAACGTTTTTATTAAAAAATTATAAGGATAAAAAATAATTAAAAATATAATTTTTTAATAAAAACGTTGTTTTATAAGCGACTTGAAACTATGTAAAAAATATCTTCAAAAAAATTTACACTTTTTGAAATAATGAGTGTTGTTTGATAAAAGAATCGCCCAGTATGGCAGTATACCTAGGCTCGTGTTATGTTTTTATCTCGATAAATGAAATATTATTTGTAATATATTACATGTGTAGGTATATTGCATATAGGTATATTATACATTATGCATATCATTATATGTATACAAATTTAGAATTCCCTATGAATAGTTCGGCGCGTGTATACCTATAGGTATAACATACATAGAAATGTGCAAATTGGCAACCCAAGTGGTTATTGTTCCATTCACAATATATAATAATTTATTTGGCATCTGACATCTCATTATATAATATATTCTACCATCGACAAATTAAAATAATACAAATCAAAACCGCCGAAAAATTTACTACAAACTAGTCCTAATGAACCATTTCAATAAATACAAACTGAAAACTAGAAAAAGCCTCACTTTTAAAAGAAGAACAAATGTCTACAAACAAAATTCTGAGTGGGTAATAATGTAATATGTATTTTCACATCCATTACAATAACATGCTCGACAAGTGACAACTACTGTATAGCAGAGAGGTACCCATTTGTCCACTTTTTTGAATTACAACAATATAATAAAAATTGTTTGAGAATAAATCGTTATTTTACGTTTTATTATTTAATTTCAACGATATTTAAACTTAGTATGCTCATAAAAAATTAATATGGCTCTACACTAATCTATTTATTTTTTTTAAATTCCAGGGAGAACAACTTTTGAGAAATCATGTATTAAAATTTGAATTTTCAAGTCTCTTTAAGATCCCAGGTATTAAAATGAACAAATGTATACATTTTTAACATTAAAATAATTTCTAAATGTTCGTGATTTTGTCTAAATTTAAACGCATCGATGATTATAAAAAAACTAAAAACATCCAATCATGCTTATAAAAAAAAATTGTGATTGATTTGTCGATGTTTGCTAAGTTACCTACCGTGAGAATACCTACATCGTGAGGAACCTTTGTGACTTGGCAAAACATTTTTATCATATTATATAATTAAACTTTAAATAACTAAACATTTCTTGAAAATGATACCATATAATTATGAAAATGATAATAGGTATAAATATTCTTGTTAGAATTTCAATTGTCTACGGCTATTCATATTTGAATTCCAACAAAAAATCAAAATCATATGGCGTTTTTCCATATAATGTTTGATATTTCATTATAAATTTATAACCATATTTCAACAAATAGGTAATATAATATTTAAGAGTAATTTTAAATAATAAATAATTTATTTAACATAATTATCACATAAATATCCAGATATTATATTATAAGAAATATCTTTTCTCGATTTTGCCTTGGAAAAATTGTCAATTATTTTCTCAATATTTAGATTTTTAGTTCATTCTTTTTCTATATTAGAACTTGCTATACTAAATAAACTCGCTCGTCCGCATGCGTTTCTTAAATAATTTTTTATTAGTTTTGTTTGGAACATGATTGTTCTGCTCCTGTCAGAGTGATTGCTGGCATTATAAGAACAATAATGTAAGCTCCTAAAACGTCTGCAAAACTACATAGGTATACTCAATAGTCAATACCCTTGACCCAAATATTTTATTATTATTATTTATTTAATTTATTATTGTTATTTTATTATTCATCTTTTATAACTGTTTTTTAAGTTAACATTTGTCGTGGAAAGTCCGAATTAATAACATCATTAATTCTTTATATATATTGAACCAAAATCGTATGATGCTTTGATACCAAATTTTATTTTCATTCGAAAATCATTTCGTTGGGTCGGCACAGTACCTACCTATAGTGTTACGAAAAAACAATTTAGTGTTCATACAGCAACAATAACAAAAACTATAGTTGTTATTATTTATTATTATTGTTGTTTTAAATTCTGAGTCGAGTGATGAATGGATTGATTTTATAATAATGTGTGCGTGTTTTCTTAAATTCATTTTTCTTCTTTTATCACATTTTGGGGCAGAAAAAATGTCACCACACACAGTAAACTTATCTTATACTCTATTACGTGGCCAAAAAACCTTCAATGTATTTCATTGATATACTTGGTACTTAACAAACAAATTGTTGGTTAATATTCTTTGTGGGTCCACTCGTGAACACTCGATCATGTTCAGTGGGGCCATTATTCTGTTGAAATAAATAAAATCGTACTCATTAATACGAAAAATAAGAAACAACATTATACTGTGTATAGAAGAAATAATTTTATAACATAATCTCATGAAAGATAGAAAATCAATGCTTAGTGCTTTAAAATGTTGAATGCCGAAAAATGAAATATATTGTGGTACAAAAAAAGTAGCAAAAAACAAGAAATAATAATTTAAATGAAAAAAAAAAGGCATCGGACAATACGAGGCCATGTGGGGGGTACGTGATGTTGAGTTGGTGGTGCTGATGATGTTGGTAACTGGTATATGGCCACTGGTCACCTCTACAACGTTCTCACGGACTGTCCTGCGGGTCGGACGAGAGTCGCGGGCGAGCTTGTTCGAGACACTAAGACGACCATGGCGGCGGGCGAAGCCGGGCCACGACTGCTGCGAGAGCGACGACGGTACTTGACGACGAGAGGCTAGTGCAGGATGTCGTGCGCTGCTTGACGGTGTTGCATGTGCTGAAGACGACGGCTTGTGCCGGCGACGATGGTGACCTGCAAAGCTCGGAGCGAGCTATCGACGAAGACTATAATTTCGGTGCAGCTGCGGAATCGGCGGCATTGCGACTCGGCCGGCGAGGGATCGGACCACTGGACGAAAAGAGGAGAGAATCTCTCAAAAAAAGAGATAAATCTTTATATGAGCATCTTTCATATTATATTATATTGTATAATTTTCAAATGGCTATTTTAGAGGTTTTTAATTTTCTATTTTAGGTTCTGAGCGAGCGATGCAGTGGCACAACTTGATAATAAGGGGCCCATGTTAAAATTTCTAGACCCTTACCTGCTAGCAAGAATGAAATACAGTCACACCACCCAATACTTATACCTTATTGTAACTCTAAAAAATACATGTAGGTAATAGTTAATAATTATTAGTTATAATATAATATACCCAATTTTACACAGGTTTCTCGCATGGGTACTCGTCAATTCGAATTCTCCAAAGTTAAATGAGTAAAGACATTATTATTTAGTGTTATTATAAAAACAAAATATGACATATTATTATATTATTTGTATTATATTATAGTTGCTGTCCCGCCCGAATACTAAAATTAAGTATTGTTGTATCATGCGTAGTATATTCCTATATGAGTTGAAAAATCAAGCTATATATAGTATACACCCTCCAAGGCCCCAAGTTTCAAGTAATAATCTATTGAAATAACTTAAATTGAACACTCATTTTTTGAGGCTTTTAACTTCGGATAAACCAACAACCAATTTTAGTTGTACCTTTAACCCGGGGTCGTCCTCCAAAAAATGAAAAAATACAAAATTTAGATTGTTTAAGTATTTCTTGGTTTTGGTGTACCTACCTAGGTTAGGTTCAGTTCCATAGGCGCACATAGGGTGTTAATTTAGGGGGTGCTGGGATAATTTATGGTTCACAGATCCGTGGGGGGCAAAGCCCCCCACACCCCCCTAATCCTAATATTTCTGCATTGCATTAGATTTAATTTGTACAGTGTATACAATAATTTCTAAAGTTCAATGTATCAAATAGTCTGTATGATTGTAAAGAAGACGCTAGGTACACCCACATGTGTTGTCTTCGTATTACAGACGTATAGGTACAACATAGGCAAAACTGTTTTGCACGGGTATAAAAAACATTCAGGCTCTACTCTAAGCTAAAAAACTAAATGTTCACACTAGAAAAATGAGAAAATTTACTCTGTAACTTTGTTTTAATATTTCCGATATCAAAACCAAAATAAAAGTTATTTAAGTTTGATAAACAAAAAAAGGTGCTCTGCTGTACAGTAGGGTACAAGTGGGTCACTGTATAATCGATGGTATTAAATTTGAATTCAATGATATACTAACATCATTGTATAAGAAAAACGATTCTGAGCGAAGACAGTTAAGTCAGCCTATGATATTAATAAGTACCTATATTTGATGATACTAAGGTGAATAAAGCAATTTATATATAACCTATTTAAGTAGAATCTTGTTTTCAATTTTCAATCATTAGCTATAAAAGTTGAACATTTTATAAATTTTTAACTATAAAATTATTATTAAATTTTAAATGTGATAAATTTTGTCAAAATTTGAATTTTAAATAATTATAAAAAAAAATTGTGCCTATGTATTTTTAATATTTTTCAAGTGTTAATGTAACAATATATCAGGAGCTTTGCATTCAATTTTCAAGCTTTTTTACCATACAAATAAAATTTTATTGATATGAATAGAAAAAAAATTAAAAAAAATTGAAAACTGAAAATGTCCGTAAATAGCTCAAAAAAATCAAAATATTTTCAAAACTATATGGTGTATAGGAAATGCTAATATAAAAATTTAGTAAAATTTTCAAGTATCTACAGTCATTCGTTTTTTAATTACAACAAAATTAGAAAATCGTTACATGAGAAATCGAGTGAATATCAAATGTTGTAAAAATATGAATTTCAAACGTTGATAAAAATTTAATTTGAGATTCTTGTAGACATTTTTTTTTTGATAAAAGTAGAAAAAACTTATGAGGAATCTTGCATTACATTTTCATATCTTAGATTTAAAAAGAAAAATTTTTATGAATTTCTAACTCGAAATAATTTGCAAATGTTGGTCATTTTGTAGTATTTTGTTAATATTTGGAATTTAAATGCTTATAACAAAAAACTGTGAGTAAGGATTTTTAATATTTTTCATCTGTCTTTGAAACAATATATTAGGAGCCTTCTATTAAATGTTTAAGCTTTTATACCCAACAAATAAAATTTTATTGATACTTATAGAAAAAAAAACTAAAAAAAATGGAAACTAAAAATGTCCGTAAAAAGCTCAAAATAACTCAAAATATTTAGAAAATTTTATCATGTATAGAAAATGGAAATATAAATAACTAGTGAAAATTTCATATATCTATTATTCATTTTAGTCATTTGTTTTAAAGTTACACCAAAAACCAAAATCAATTTTCTCGAAAACAGATTTTGCGTAAAAATTCCCGGTTTTCCTTAATTTTTCTTTTGTTTTTCACGGCGCTTTTGAAAACTAATGTGAAATTTTTGCTTTTGACCCCCCCCCAAAGTACCAACTAGATTCACTTTCCTATCAGAAAAGATATTGTTGAAGAAAATCCAAGCACTTTTACTGTCCTAAAAGATGATGACAGACAAAAAAAAAAAAAAAAATGAATTCGTGAATTCGTAAACAGTTGTCAATATTTGTAATGAAAAGAAAAATTCCGAACCAATAAACCACGATAGTTTATAAATGATTGGTGAAATACTGAAATAAACTGAGGGTGCTAGTTTGAAGCTTGGGGGTGCTAAGCACCCCCAAGCACCCCCCTATGTGCGCCTATGTTCAGTTCACAGATAAATTTGGGTAGCTTTGAGAACTAAATCGACCATGGAAAATGTATTTGTGGTGGATTGGGTATAGCACTTGGTATGAGTCAAACTTGGTTCAAACTACTCTTTAAACTTTCCTGATATCTCCAAGAACAATTTGAAATTTTCACAAAATCGGTCTAGTAGATTTTGAGAACCTATATAATAGCTACAAATATACATTCAACTCTCATATTTGTTTTAAGATATAATTTCTTTGTTTGAAACCATTAACGTGCGAAAATTTGATGGATCCTTTTACCTCATCTGCCAGAGTAACTGATGGTAAGCATTTAAAATACTAATTTTTACTAATTATTTATTATTTCTTCTATAACCAATAGCAGCCATTTATAAACAAACATTTTTATCTTAAATCTCAAAATACCTGTTTGAGCACCTCTTCGGGTTGAACCAACTGGGTATAATTGTGAATCTAAACCTTTCAGGGACTCACTCAAAAACATACAGAGAGATCAATGACATACAGATACAGACATTTATTTATACAGGGTGTCCCGTGAGGATTTACCTATTAGCCGTAGAGGGGGACACGCCGCCCGGACAAAAACCGGTTTTTTGCCGTTTTACCTATTAATTAAAAAAATTATTAAAATCAGGAAATTAATGAAATTAAAATGTTGAAACGTCAATATTTTCAGAAAAATGAACTCTACAAAATGGCAATCTTCAATATTTTTTTAAATAATTAATTAAAAAAATAATTTTTATAACTTTTTTACCAAAACATAAAAAAAAAATAAAAAATTAGTTATTTGTAGTGCTTACCTCTGTGAGTCTTAATAAGAAAACAGAATTACGATATCTCTATTATTTCAGGAGATATCGCAATGAGTAAATCCTCACGGGACACTCTGTATAATATATATAGAAAATAGAAATAGATTGTTATTATATTCAGCCACCCAATTAATCTTACCAAAGAAAATTATTATACATTAAAACCTTCCCCGTGACTTGACCGATTTATTAGTGAAAACCTTATTGAAATAAGTAGAGTTTTTTTCGAGATAATATACTCGTACATACAAAAAAAGGGCTTCTATTTTATAATATATACATATAGATTAATAGATTATATTATATTAATTGTACTAATATTTAATTATTATTATATTATTTTGTATATTACACATTATAATAGGAATATCGTATATGAGATCTCGGGGCCCCCCAAAACCGGGGGTCCCTGTGAATTGCACACCTAACACTCCCGATAAATGCGCCACTGCGACATCATTAAGACCAACAAATCAATATCAAAATCTATAAACAGTATAAACTGGTAGTACCTAATAAAAATATTTTCGATACGCAGATATAAATGATATTTACAACAGTCAATATATAGTAGGTAGGTAGGTACTAGGTACTCACTAAAGGGTTTTTTAATTTTTAATTTTATTTGGATTATTAACTTGTATCAATTTAAACATATTAATTTATGACATATATCTAAGCAGTATTATAATTTATAATATAGGTAGGTTTTGACAATATAAATGTAATAATGTAATTATAAATGTAATATAACATATAAATGTGTAAATATATATATAAATATAAATGTAATAATATAATAATATATAAATGTATATAAATGTGGCTCGGCGCGGTGCGTCACGTAACGTGATTGAGAACCAGAAACGGCCGTAGCCACTTGTTCCCGGATGGGTGACCACCCGGGTCCATAGTGGCAAAAAATCTTGCGACACATACACGTGTTGCTAACCAACCCTACCAACCGTAACCCCTACAATAGCTTATGACCATAGTTGCCGGGTTGTAGACTAATAAAAAATAAAAAAATATATAAATATATGTACTTTTATAATATTTTGAGATATATAATGAGTTTTTATTTGAAATAGGTACACTACCCTTAGTCAATGGAGATAATAGATTTCAGATGATCGATGGTAGCTATCCTGAGTTGTATTTCTATGTTTTTATTTGTTATTTCATTTAAATACATTTTTTTTTGTTCTTCTGAGTGGATTGTTTCCGATATATATATATTATTTTGTTCATGTATCTTTTTATTCAGCGAATAAATTTCATTTTGAAGTATGTTATTTTTTTCTTTAGTGTTCTAAATTACCATAAATAATAAAAAGTTATATTGTGTTAGTTTTAGCTATTAGTATTCATTATTTAATAATTAATAGTTTTAAATTGTAATTCTTTTTGTTACATATTAATCAGTGTTTTATATTATTTATTGAAACGTGCAAGTATCGGTTTTCAAGTGAAAATTAATTGAATCTAAATTAGTGGAGATTTTAGTATTTGACAATATTCAACAATTATCTCTTTTGAATTCGTTTTATTCTCAGATTTGTGTAATTGGATTTGGTGAACTTTTGTGTATTTGATTTGACTTCAAAATAGGTAAAATCATTATAGTAAGTACTCATATTTCAAACAACTAATTATTATTATTTTTATATATTAGTTTTGTATCTCTTAATAAACACTTACAATTTTATGATAAACTAAAAATCTCTGTCTTTGAAATTTCAAAATAATTTGAATATTATTGTTATTGAACATATAAAAACAAAAACCTTGCACCCAATCATTATGTTCTATAGTCATTACTCATTAGGTACCTACTCATTAGTCATTAGTTTATAGGTACATGAACATATTTTTTTTTACCTTAAAACGAATTTTGGCTATATCAATTTCATTTTTTATTATTTCCAAAAATTTTTCGTTGATATTTTGGTAATTTACAGTCAATGTCAATTTGTCTTTAATCTTTAATGCTTCTTCGTATTCTTTGATTACTCGCCAAGCTCTGAGCCATTCATTTCGAGCGGCTTGATAGTCACGCAAACCTTTTCGTATCGATTCTCTCAAATCTTTGTACATCTCACCTGTTACACTGTCCAAACGTATTTTGATTAACTGCATTATGCGTTTTTTTTCATTAACAATCATTATCTTAAATCTAAAATTACACAAGTTTAAACATTATGAGAACATAGTTTAATATAAAATAAAATATAAGCTCATTACAAGCTGGGGATATCATGCAAGTGTAGGCACTAAGAACGTCAGTTTAGTAGGTAGGTAGATACTTGTGTAATGTGTCGTAATGTGTGAAATGAGTCGTAATGTGTGTAATGTGTCTATACAGACGTATAGTTTCGTTCAGTATCGGCCGTACATGTTTTTGCCCAAAATCGACCATTTGGTTTTCGCCCAAAGAAATATTATTAAAGCTTATATAATAAACTTTAGATTCTAAATTAATCCATGTGCAATTTTGACAAATAATTTGGTATTCTATTTTTATTATCATGCTATTTTTTTTTAATATGTTTTACATTAAAATATTTAAATTTGATCTTCTATATGTTCTTCACTTATATCTATGTGCCATAACTTTGGACAAATAATTTGGTTTTTTATTAATATACTATTTTTGTTACTAAATTCTAAAATAAATTAAATTCTAAATAACATTTTCAATAAAAAAAAAATACAGTGGTAACCAAAATGTTTTTTCGTCTACTATAAATAATATTTCTTTGGGTGGAAACCAAATCATTCTTTTTTGAGTTTGGGAAAAAAGATCATATGGACGAAAACAGAAAAGGTTGATTTTGGGCGAAAACCTATGCGTGCCTGTATGGGTTGGAAGCGCAAACTGCAAAAAACGTGATGTCCAACTAAACCAAACAATGCGAATCATATTATATTCATATCGGGCATTCGGGCACAGTTGCTTGCAAAAGTAAGCAACAACAATAAACAAATAATAGTCTCATTACATTATAATATAATAATTATTGTTAATTAATCAGTCTTTAGTTACTTAAGAACAATAAGAACCATAGATATAAAATTAAATAACAAACTTAAATTTTGGTTCTAGAAAAAGTTTACATATTTGCTTACTTTTTTACCACACATAAAGGATACTCTGTGAATAGAAAATTGGTGGATTCTGGGCCCATTTTAAGTGTTTCCTGTAATATTATCTCAGATATAACGCTTGAACAGTAGATCGATGGATGTAGATAAAATTGCATTTTAGGCATTATTATTGACTTTTTGACTTCTTCAAAAACACGTCGTCTGTTTTCAATCTATATAAAACAAGTCCTTATACATAATTAGATCATCTATGCCAAATATAGCTAAATAGCTAGTCAATAGTAAATCATATGATGATAAAACTGCAAGGAAATAGATAAAATGTATTTCTATATTCAATACTGACTTTTTTTAGTTATTCGTTATGAATTTAAACACATTTCACCTAAGCTATTTGAATTTAATCATATTTACAAAATAATGATTGGGTATAAAAATCATACTTCAACAATAATAGCTTTGATTCGTTTTTTTAACATTGATAGTTGATTGAATCGATGGAATGCCTCGGTGTCACGTACACCCTCGGCCATTAAATCTTCCACCAAGAAAAATATCAGTCTATTAACAAAAGGATCTTGACATTTGGTCGAGCATAGATTATTCTGTTCGTTGAGCATTTCTTGTTGGATAGTAGTATACAGCGTGAGATAAAAACCACCAGCACGTTCCCGGATGTCTGGGTTATGTCGTCCAGATAACACATCCCAGATTTCTTTTACTAAAATGTCCAGGCCATTGCTTGCCTGCTTGTCAATTGAGACTAACTCAAGTTCTTGTGAGTTCTTTGGTAAAGGAGTGCTCACTGGTAAATCTCGAGAAGTAGGTATTGGACTTTTACTAAAGAATATACAAATATTATTATATTACTGCAGCGGTGGTCAAATGTTTTTATCAAAATATCAAAATATACAAAAATATTATGACCTATCTGTTTTGAAACAAAAAACACAACTTTAACTATACTTGCAAATACTTTGAAGACAGTCCTAATTCTGTATAAAATGGGAAGGAAAATTTAAAAATTATTCGGAACCATTTCGGATATAAGAACTTACCCTTCTTACAACCCGGAAGTCAATTCGGATACACGGAAATATGTAATGGAAATGCTTATAATATATTTAGTTTCATTGGTATACCTATATCATGATATCTTGATTCTACATAAATTCCTTTTTAGTCTCAAATTTAATATTAAAAGTAAGATTAAGTTTCGGACCATTTGATTTGCTGTATAACAATTGGATTGTTTGTATTATATATATAAATATATATTTATTTACATAGTTTCTCCTCGGGAATTCAACCACAGCGGATCCGTACATACATTTCCAATGGTAACTGCTACATATCCAAATACTGTAAAGCCATCATTTAAACTCTGAACGGCTATATATGTTCGTTCATCCGATGAAATATAATTAAGTTCATCTAATGGTAATTCTCGGTTGAATACTTCAGGAGTTCCGTCATTTTCCCCAAGTGTATCCGGTTTTCCGTAAAACGGTAATTCGTCAAAGGTCTCTAAGGGTCCATTAGATGGCATTCGCGTAAACGGAGCTCGTAACTTTCCGTCATATAAATGTATTAGTAACTGTGCCAAATACATATTACGTTTAGCTGCTTTAAAATTGTTCGGATGAGGGCACTCCATTAGTTTATTAATCCAAGCCTAAAAATTTTCAAATATATTTTTACTATATTGCAAGTATAGTTTAACATGGTGTAGTTTACATAGATATTACTGTCTAACCAAATACCAAACAGTCAGTTTCCAATATCTTAGGATAGTTTGTGTAACAATATAATATATTATACTAAAACAATCTGTTTGATTGTGTGTACTTTTGTATTCGTCGTTATTTGTTAAATTATACATTTATAGGTACCCATATTAAGTACCTACTGAGTACCTGAACAATTGCTTTATCCATACATTGATTGAAATTGTCAAATGCTCGCTTTATATGCGAAATATATAAGAAAAAGTGTTGAGTAAGTATACCAGATGCTGTGTGTTTACCTATTTCTGGCTTCTCTTCCGTACTCGACATGTTTGATTTCAAATATTTTTATTAATGTTTAGTTTACATAATAATATATTTTTTCAATTTCAATTTCAAACAAATAAGTCAATTAAAATTAACCAGATGTATACTGCAGGTTGTTGTTTAGGAAACGAGATTATTGCATAATCTATATTCTATACTATAAACAATAATATAGTTCATGACGTCATGTGGTGATATAATATTTCATTTATTAAAGATAAAATAAAACATATTATTAAATTAATAAAAACATCAATAAAAATAAGATAAACATAATACTAGTAAAAAAATAAACAATAACATTCATGGGAATCTTCAAAGAAGAAGCAATTAATGAAAAATGTAAAAAAAAACACAACATGTATTAATGATTTTGAATTATTAATAAATCTAAGGCTAAGCAAGTTAAATATTTTTTTTTAACTCGTTAAGTTAAGTTAATACAAACAATTCAATCATATACATATTAAATTTAAAATGTATTTATATTTTTTTGATAATTTAAAAAAGTTAAAATTAAAGTATTTTTCAATTCAATATCACTTTTTCAAAGAATAAAATAATATTTGCAAGTAAATAATAATTAATATTCAAATTAACACTAGTCGAAAATTAAATAATCAAAACATATCGAAAAACAAACTTAAATTTGTATAATAAATACAACTTGTCCTCCCAACCTATTTTGTGTCGCCTACTTAATTACGTAATTTTAAAAATGCTTAGTTAATATTTATCACGGTTTTAGTAAAAATGTATGCTTGATCAGTTTTTTTTTTATATTGAACATGCATAGCAATAATGTATCATTGTACTTTTGTTTCTGTCAACGAATTTACAAATATATTTGTAGCGTAGGTATGTGCGGTGTTTCGAGACTATATGTTACGAATGCAAATTTTAGATTTAGTCTTTTTTTCTTGCTGTTGACACTGTAATAATTTAACTTAAACCATCACAACGAGTAGTCAGGCATTTATTTGTTTCACATTCCTCGTCAAAGGGTTCTGACTTCTGGGGAATATTACCACTTGTTATCGCATATCACATTCAAAGCAAAGATTCTCAACAGAGCTTTTACAGTTTTTGTTATTTCTATGATGTTTGTGAGGACTAAGGACTGAACATTTTAATGATATTGAACATTTAGTATTTGTGAATAATAACGAACGTACATAATATAATGTACATCGTTCATTTTAATTCACGCTTAGGGTAAATAATTATGAAATCAACAAATTAGTAATTACATAACCAACTTAATAAAATGTATAATCAATAGATTGGGTCACATGACGTTTTTGGAACGCACCAGTACATGTAAAAATTATAAAAACAATACTAAAAATAATTTCTTATTAAATAAAAAAAAAAACATAATTGTAAAATATTGTTCAATTTAAAATCTAAAAAGATATTCTATACTCATTAAATACAAAAATTTAAATTAACTTAACGTCTTAACCTAAAATGTTTAACTTGTTAATTAGTGATGATCAAAACAAGACCAAGACTCTTGCTATTTTCACAAAATATATAAAGAAAAAAGCTAAATACCTGTTATAGATGTGTGTAAGTTTTTTGCTATGATCTCTAAGATGAAACTACCAAATTTGATCATCACTATATACTATATTATAATATATTAGACTTAAGTTTCATCTTAGAGATCATAGCAAAAAACCTACACATAGCTATAACAGTTATTCAGTTTTTTTCTTTATGTATTTTGTGAAAACAGCAAAAGTCTTGCAAGAGTTTTGGTCTTGTTTTGATCATCACTATTGTTAATACATGCCTAGCCTTGTCAAAAACTATATAATATGATATAGGTAGTTATAATATGTTCTATTTTAAGTTATAAATGTTTTTAGGTAATTAATATGCTTACGCCTTATACAACTTTTAAATTTGACTTTCAATTAAGTTATACTTTTTTTTTTTTTTTTTGGTTATATAGGCCAAATAAAATATTCCAACATTTGAATATTTTACCATATAATACATTTTTCTTCTGGATTCATAGGTGTTCCTATTTGACAGTTAAAGACTTTTGAAAATTCTTCAAAATTACTTAGTGGACCATTTACTCTATACTGTGACGGTGAATGCAAATCTTTTTCCATTTGTAATTTGAGGGATTCTTCTGTACTCGATGAACACCATACCTTAGAAATAAAGAATTATTTTAATCGATTTCTTTTGTTTATTAGTTATTTACACTAACTTGTGCAAAACTGACGAAAAACAATTGTTGCGTGGTAAGATGGACAGCAGGCAAACGGTTTGGTTGAGCCTTCTTTTCTTCAAGTAACTTAACATAAGCACGGTATGCAGCTTTAAGTCCACCGTTGTCGGCAATATTTTCTCCTGAAGAATACGTTTGTTATGAAAATAATTATTTTAAATAAGTAGTTTAATTTTAGCATACCTAATGTGCGTTTTCCATTTATATTATAGCCGTTAACTTTATAGTTGGAATACTGTTTGATCATACAGTCCGTCGCTTCTTTAAATTTGTTTACTGTTTTGTTATTCCACCACTGGTGTAAATTTCCAAAGCGATCAAATTCTCGACCTTTTAGTTCAAAAATGTTCATTTCAATTTTTAATATTTAAACACAAATGATTTAATATTAATAAAAACCGATATTTCCGTATTGTGTAAGCCAACACTGACTAATATTTACCTATAAAACAAATGATTAAGATTTTAAACTTACCTTCATCGTCAAATGCATGGGTGAGTTCGTGTCCCATGACTACTCCCATTGCGCCATAGTTTATGGAAGATTGTTGCATTTGGTCGAAAAATGGTGCCTGTAAGATACCCGCTGGGAAGACTATTTGATTTTTGGTCGGCGTGTAATATGCGTTTACTGTTGGAGGGGTCATACTCCACCTGAAAGAAAATCGATAAATTAAGTTGACATTCGATCGAACGTGTGTTGTGTTTTTACTTTGAACGATTGACAGGTTGATCGAGCTTAAATAAATACTGCATCAAATTATATTGAATAGCACGTAAGTTGTTTTTAAAGTATTCGTCGGAACGTACAGTCAAATTTTGGTATTTATCATCTAACTGATTTGAGTCCATTATATAATCCGGAAAACCTAAAATATTTCCACGGTAAATCCTTTACGTTTATAGGTATATATGTAGTTTTTAATATACAGGGTGTATCTTATGTCATTGTACGCGGGGTTTTTTGACGATTACGGAACGATGATATGGAATTTCGTTAAAACGAAAAAAGACACGTGTTTCTTTATTTTTAACAAGCAATTTTTTTATAACAATTTCAAAATTTTTAAACACGCAGGTGTACCAATAGCAAAATCAACTTTCTTTTTTCAAATGGTAACCACTATATTTTTTAATGGATTCTGGTAAAGCTTTTTTTTCTGAACATTTTGGTAGTCGAATCGTCAATTTTGGTTCACTAGTTTATTAACTATGGACCTCCAAAGATTAGTAAAATATGCATTAATACTTTTAATTAAAATAATGGGTATAGGTTAAATTTACAAGCGCTAAACAATTTTTTCTTATAACTACCATTTGATACACTACAGTTGTTGAATCGGTAATCTAATGACACCCTCAAAAAAAAAAAAAAATTGTTTAGCGCTTGTAAATTTAACCTATACCCATTATTTTAATTAAAAGTATTAATGCATATTTTACTAATCTTTGGAGGGCCATAGTTAAAAAAAAACTAGCGAACCAAAATTGACGTTTCGACTACCAAAATGTTCAGAAAAAAAAGCTTTACCAGAATCCATTAAAAAATATAGTGGTTACCATTTGAAAAAAGAAAGTTGATTTTGCTATTGGTACACCTGCGTGTTTAAACATTTTGAAATTGTTATAAAAAAATTGCTTGTTAAAAATAAAGAAACACGTCTTTTTTCGTTTTAACGAAATTCCATATCATCGTTCCGTAATCGTCAAAAAACCCCGCGTACAATGACATAAGATACACCCTGTATATATTACGTTAATATATATTTTACGTCTATATATTAGTATAATATTACCAATCATATCTGTTATAGCATCTGCTTTTTTCTCGGCTTCAATGAGTGTTTCTTTATCCATCCATTTCAAATTTTTAAAATTATCCTTAAATGCTGTTCTTATTTCATTAATCATATCTTCAGCCTAAATATTGAAAATATTAAAAATATTTAATTACCGATTTTTTTGTTTTATTTTGTTTAACCTACCTATCTTGTTCACTGTTATATACTTACTAGTTTTTTCGACTGTCCGTGGAAAACTTCACGGACATATAATGCTCCCAAAGCAAATCCCAATACGTTGTTTGTATCGCTAATACAGTACCGCCATGGTTCTTCACCTCCTTCCGATCCTAACAATGCTTTTCGTAGTCCTTTATATGCGTCTCGAAAAACTTTCGATAAATAAGGAGTAACGGTCCTGACAGTTTGCCACACCAGATAGTTGTTAATTACCCTATTGTTTGTAAAATAATCAATAATCAGCAAACTATAATTAAGATTAAGATTTTTAAAAGTAAATGTTTTACGTCTTATTTTCTGGAGTTTTACTGTACTCGGTAATTAGATTTGAAAGGTTTCCCATGAACGATGGAGAGTATACCACGACGTTTTCCTTAGTTGTTATCTTTCTATCGACTAATCGAAAAGCTGAATTGAAGTAGTGACCCCATTGAATCTGTACAAACATTTATTAATATGATTAAGAATAGTTTATAATTTTTGAAAACGGGAAGTTTAAATTAATATCAGTTAATAAAAACAAAAAAAAACAAAATAATATACATACGAATGGGGCTAAATTCTGTAATTCACTAATAGACATAATGTGATAGGCCTTTTCTTCATCACGTTTATCTTCATCGGGTTCTGTAAACTTAGCTAAACGTGTTTCAAATTCAATAACTTCTTTCATTTGAAGTCTTGTAGAATTTGGTTCACCGCCCAATAAAGTTCCAATCTAAAACCTCAAACATAAACAATTTTTATTCAATTCAATTATTTAATGAATAAATAATAAGTAAATTTTTGATAACAAGGCCCAAGGGAGTCAGTTAAGTTAGTTTTTGATTAATATGCAAAAAAAAAATAACAACAAAAATTAAATTACATCACATATAATCCCAAAAAACTGTTGTACTAATGTACTCTTAAAGTGAATCACAAAATATATGAATAAATTATAAGCTCACCGTTGTCATATAATCTAAATATGTATCTAACAGTTTTTGGTTTGCTGTAACGTTCAAATAAAAATCTCTTGTTGGTAAAGTCAATCCACCTTCATCGACCTAAATCAACACAAACAAACAAAAAAAAATGAACATTATATATACTGGGAAATTCACAAAGAATGTTCACAACCGATTTTCCATTAATGGAATTGGCTACAACTCATTTGCGCACATTTACCTTTTTTACAACCCATTCGCGCACAATTTACGAACAATAGAAACTATTTTTCAAAGACATTTAACCACGTATTATTCACTTTTGTACCATGGATAATAGTCCACGACAATAGATTTAAAAGGAATGGCGGACATTCCCCCCCCGGCTATTTTCGGCGTAGTAGGACATTTTCCCAACGATACATTTTTGATGCGGACATTCCCCCCCCCCGTTTTTTTTTGTTTTTTTATTTTTAATTATTCACCTTCGAATATAAAATTATTATTTTTTAATACATATTTTTTAGTTTTTCTTCATATTTATTTTCTTATTTTTGTAAAAACTGTACGTTAACTAAAAAATCTGTAATATCTGTAATATCAAAACTGTTCAAAGCAGTTTAGTAGTGGTTTAGTGGTTATAGTGGTTATATACGTTTTAAAATAAAAATTCTTGTTTTAAATTTTTTTTTGTGGTCATGGATAAAATATAAATTCTTAAAACAGACAGAAGAGGTTTAAGAATTGTTTTTAAAGACTATATGTATACAAAACAAAAAAATGGGTGTGTGGAAAAAAAAAAGAAAAATTGTGAAGGTACTCTTTCCAGACTTTTCGCAATAGAAACGTCAAATTTATTAAATGAATTCATTATATTTTGTTTATACAATCTTTTTTATTTTTATGTCGGATTTTTTGGCCAGCTGTATTGTACTATATTATATTATTTAGACAGTCTTTTATTTAAAATTATATTTTTACTTAACTTGTTTTAAATAATATTAATATTTTTTTATTGAACTAAGATTAAGAACTTTTTAGTCAACGTACAGTTTTTACAAAAATAAAAAAATAAATATGAAGAAAAGCTAAAAAATATGTGTTAAAAATAATAATTTTATATTCGAAGGTAAATAATTAAAAATAAAAAACAAAAAAAAAACGCTGGGAAAATGTCCGCATCAAAAATGTATCGGGGGGGGGGAAATATTCTACTACGCCAAAGACAGCCGGGGGGGGGGAAATGTCCGGATACCGTTTAATAGATACTAGGGCTAGTGGGGCTATGATGATATTAAAATTATAGTAGGCTCTGAATTAATATTATTTTATCAAGATGTTTTTAATTTGTAAAGATTGTTCGAGTACCAAGTATAATGAGACGAGGCTCAATATTACGTCTATTTTATATTTTAATGAGCTTAAAACCATTATTAATGACATTTATTAGAACCTACATGCAGTTAAATAGCTCAAAAACTACTCGCTCAAATTTCGATGAAAATACATAAATATTCTCAACGAAAAAATATTTTGCTCAATTATTTACACGAAAAACTGTAGTTCGACAATGAAAAAAGAAAGTAGTTTGTATTGTCAGTAACTACAGAACACTCCTTAAATTGTACAAAAGCACTCTCAATAAAATATTTTTTTTAAAGTTTACTTAAATTTTCCAAAAATTAGAATTTGAATAAACACATTATCATAGGATAAAATGGGTAAGACTGCTCGATGAATCAGAATCACATTATAATATACTATATATAGGGACTTATGGGTTTACCTACTAGTTGCACACTTGCACATTTTGTTGAATACTAACTTGAATTACGTGCCTGCTTGAATTTCTGTCATCTTCTCCAACCATCCAATAGAACAGTCCGGCCATATTGTACCGATTGTGAACCGTTTCTAAAGTCCTTTGTATCTTCCACGTAGATACATTCCATGTTCCTGATATGTTCCATCCTCCGATGTCTTTAATAAGTTCCAGCAATGGTTCGGCACCTAACGTTTCGATTGTGTTATTTGGATCCATGCAGGCCGTAAAATACATTTTGGCTTTGAGTTCAGCTTTGCTACTAGTGTTCATAGGAATTGCTTCTGTAAATATAAATTTATCTTATAATATGACCAAAAAATTATATAATATAAAGGATGTAAAAAAAAAAACAACTCGCACCTAGTGCGTTTTTGACTATAAGTTGATTGTTCATTTCCAACTCATTAAACATGCCCCACATAGATCTGCCGTCCGGCACCGGATTCGCTTTTATCCACTGACCACAAGCGTATTTGTAGAAGTCCTGACAAGGATCAGATTTCGTGTCCATACTTTTGATAATGGACGCTGCCGTCGTTACGCACGTCTCCTTCATACAATAATCTGAGGACAGCCAATCGATTATGATTTATAAGTTTTTTGGGAAAAGTCGCCTATTACGCGTTCCCCGTTGTTTTGTCATAATGTATGTTTATATTTATACACCACAACAATAACATTTCATAATATGTAAAAATGGCTAGGTAAAAAAAAATTAGTCATCCATAAGAACTTTAAGCACTATTATAAAGATGTGAATCATGAATAAATGCTAAGTCAATTAAACTCAAAGTATACACTTCTTTTGTTCCAATAATTATTTATTTACTTAGTGAGAGTTTATTCTGGCAAGCATAAATTATGTATATTATTCTAATATTTTAAGTTTATAATAAAGTCCTAAAATTACTTTTAATTATTTAGTCCATCTTTCATATTCCGTGCCGTATAAAATATCATAAATATAATATATCAAAAATATAAATTATATTATATACGGATTTAACGACACTTTTAAATCTTACCTTGTCCGGTACTAACGAAAGAATCAGTTTCCTCGTATATGTCTGGAATTTGGTGTGTGTTGGGACTACACTTTTCCTGATGCACCGGTAACATAATGATAAATAGTAATATCACACCATTAAGCAGGGTTAAGGCAAGGAGAACTTTTTCCAACGACGTTCTGTTTTTCAACCGAGACCAAATATTTTTAGGTTTGCCCTGTGAACCATACATTTTATATACTTTTTTTAATTATTACCAACGTATATAATAATGTATTTTTTGTTATAATTTATTTCGTATGGTTTCAATAATTACTGTATAAAAACGGATATGTGTGGAGGACGCCGTAACTCCTTCTGTCAAATGAACCGAGCCCATGCTTGACGTCTCCTCTTCGAACACTTTGTGCTTGTAATGTGCCATCTACACAAAAACATTCACAATCAAAATATAATGATGAATGTAAATTTATCATACGAATCATCAAACAATATTAAGATAACAATAATACATTTAATTTCATGAAAACCCACGAACCTATAGTCATTTATGTAGACTAACTATGCCGGGGGTCCATAACCTGTGGTCCTTGGCCCCACGGGGTTCGCGACACTTATATTATTATATATATATATGTCAGCTAGGGTCGGCGACGCTACCGTCTTTCTGCAGGTCGTGTATTATGGTCTGTGTGTGTGTATGCATTGCCCTCATGATGGATATTATGTAAGTTGTCTTATATCACCGATATATAATATTTTTATATTAAAACGTCATGTAGTTTTCGGTATTTTTGTGTTCCGTGTAGGTAATAAAGCTACGCTCGATACCACCTGTTCAGTGCACGCTCCGTTATACATTTATGTTCCTTAGGTTTATAATATTTTATATATCGCATAATAGGTATGTATTTGTCTGAAACTGAATGTTATCTTTATTACACTATCATAGTACGAGTTCTATAAAATTAATTGACATTTTAGTTTCATCGATAGTCTGATATAAATCCCTACAATGACAGTACCTAGTTTGAAAACTAAATTTAATCAAACGTTCTTGTCAAATATTTAGTTAGGTACGACTGTACAAGATAATCAACAAAACTATCAAGTATAAGGCTCTTGAAGTTAAATACTATTTAAAGTTTTAATACTATTTCTCTCTATACAATTCGGTGAAAAAGTTGTTTCTTCTCTAGTGTTATTGGCTTACTCACGGGGAGGGGGTCTTGGAGTTTAACCCCCCCCCCCCACAGCATTAAAAATTCCCGAGAACTGTCTAGTGTACTTACATTAAAAATAAGTATAGAAACCGCTTACAACATATTATATAGATTCCGAACTGCAGTTTAAACTATTCTATATTAAGCCAAAACATCAAAATTTGTAGCAGAAATGCAACACCGTCCATCTCGTCAATATATTTTTATTGTACTATATGTGTAGATTATTATATGCTCATAGGCCATAGCTCATTGATTTGTTTTTTAATTTTTATCGGAATACTATTTATTGATTAGTTTGTAATGAAAACAGTAACTTTTATGCAAAAAAAATTGTGGACATTTTATCAGGGCTTGAAAACGTTACAATAACGTTATTATATTACTTATATTTGACAAAAAACGACTGAAATTTGTAAACGTAATTATAGTGGAAATCGATAATCAAAAGTAATTAAATACCGCAAAAAAAAAACATAACGATTAACAAAATATAATATTATGTATCATTAAACAAAACGTAACGTGAAATGTAATTTATGGAATATCATTAAACAAAAAATAACGCAAAACGAAATAATTTAAAATCCATTTATTTAAAAGGTCTATTGGTTTCGTAGAAACATTTATTTCATGCAAACAATGAAAACAGCGAATAAACTGCAGTACATTGAGAATTATATTGTTAAAATGTTTATGGTTGAGACCTTTCACCTATAGCATCACCATCAACAAGTAATAAAACATAATAAACTAATAAATTAATAACTAATAGGTACGATCGTTGCTTAAAAGTTATTACGTTTATATTATAGATTACCGGTAGAACCAACCTGTTCACGTTATGGTTATACATTTCTTAAGTAAGTAAGTATTTTAAATTCGTATGTTATTTTTCAAAAAATTCGAATATCTTACATTTAAAAAAATTTAGTTGAATAATATTTTGGTTGTAACAAGTAGGTACTAGGTACTCATATTTCATTCTATAGAATCTGTGGTTTATTTTTTTATTTTTAAAACTAGAATATTATTAAATATTTGTTAAATTGTTCTCATCAATAATCATTATAGTCTATAGATGTTCGTGAAGGGTGAGGTCTCATTAAAATAATAATAAATTACACGATAAAATTATATAAATTAGGTTAGTTTATTTATCTATACTAATTACTCTAAAAAGTCCATTAAAAACTATGCATAATTAATTGGTAGATTATTTAACACTCGTATATTGGACCTATCTATGTAGGTACATTTATATGTTACTCAATACTCACTAGTCACTACTTTTATTGCATATTATTCACTGCTGTGAATATAATTTTTAATAAACTAAATGTGTTTTGTTGTTTTACCAAAATCAACGATCTAAAAGTATTACCATTTAACATGTTGGTTATGTTATAATATTAACCATTAAGACTAGAATAGGGAGACCAAACTCCGCTTCTGATAACATCTCGAAATGAGACGCACGTTAAAATGATCACTGCGCTGCGTTCGCCTACTTTAACCTGTGTAGTATAGGAATTATTCAGGTTTTCTGCGTTTTTTGGAAAATATATTCATTATTTTGAACCACGAACCCTTTTAGATTTTATAGCTTGTACGATTACGCATTTATGTATGTACATAAGTGTATATTTCATATACATGTTATTCATAAGAAACAAATTTGAGTGTAACGATACATATATCGGTATAAAACGATCGTTCAAGGAAACCCATCATGTGTGTGGTGTATCGAATAGTATCGGGCTCTGCGAAAAAAGATATATAGGTATAAAATAACTAGATATAGTGTTAACGGATTGTATAATTTAATTATTTACACAAAAATAAAAATATTATTTATGAAATATACACATATTCGTACAAGCTATTAAATCTAAGTAGGGTCAAGGTTCAAAATAATGCACATATTTTCCAAAAAACGCAAAAAACAAGAATAATTCCTATATTAGAATGGCCAAAGTAGCAACCCTAGCGTACGCAGTGCAACCTGTGGCTGTTTAATCGTGGGACTCATTTCGGTACGTTTTTTCGTGCGGGCGGCAGTTTTGTCTCCTTATTCTAGTCTTCATGATATTAACTAGGTACTAAATAGCATAAAATGATCCAAATTGAATAATATAATTTCTAGAAAATGAGTTGGTAAATAAAAATTTGATAAGAAATGTATTCAAGTCGGTAATTTATTTTAAATTTTAACAATAAACAAAAACGTTTTAGTTAAAAACTGGTTTTCAGTAGGTACCTACCCATTTGTTTTGTTAGTATTTCCTAATTAATTACTAATTAGTATTGAGATTTTACCCCCAATGTATCCACTATACGTATATTACTATATGTATATTATTATAGTTTGCAGCCCGAAACCACCCTATAAGTTGATGATTGCAGAATTACTTGCACTGTTCCTAGATAGGTGACGTTAGTTACAAAAAAAATAAGAATAAACACAATATCATTGTATAAAACCTAGGTAGGTACCTAGTGACTAGTACTGTAGTATAGGTATATTCATCGATTCACTCAGAATTTAAAATACTAAAATGAGGAATTATAATTATTTGAGTTTCATCTGCAGCTTGTTATAATAAATGTAAATATCAAAAACATATATATATATTATATATATACATATATAAATACTTGAGTCAGATATTATACAACAATAACTTAACGTAGGTACACAATTATCAAGGTTATGGGTGTCACCTAGGCATATCGTATATTATATAATATATTATTTGAATGGCTATCGGGATACAAACAAAAATTGGCTTTATTGTTGAATGGCATAATTATGGTCTGTAGTTGAAATATAGGTATATTGTTTAAAAAAATATATTCAAAACTTATATATTTTGCAAATATAATTTATATAGGTAGTGTTTTTAGTAAAAAAATGTTACTTTGAAAAGCAAGTCGTTGGTGGATATAATATAATAGACAAACATAGCGTCATACATATTGTTATAATTTACACAATAGCTAGGCTGTCAAAGATAAACACTAATATTGTTGTTTTGCCGGACGAACTACGAACATTTCAATAGTGGGTAATAATGGCGGATATCTATCCGAATTTTGCACGTAGAGTTTTCTAAACTACTCGATATCGTATCTCTCTATTCATAGCCTATAAATAAATATACATGTACAATGTGTAAGACGTAAGTTCGACTCGTATATTTGGGTAGTAATAAAAATCCTTCACCTATATGTATTATGAAAATTGAGTCTTTTGATGTTTAAATCATTGTTTTTTTTTGCACAATATTTATAATATAAAGACTTACATTAGAACGATGTCTCATTCAAAGACTGTAGCGATACTTTAAAAAAATTAAGTATTTGAGAGCATAATCACACAAGATAATATTATAATATTATCTTATTTTAATTTTAATATTTGGATGGCAATTTGTTAAAAGGACCCATGTACATTTTCAACTATACTTTTCAGGTGAAACAAAAAACAGTTGTCCTTTATTTCTATTTGCGTGATAAGACCAATCATCAAAATTTAGATTAAATAGTATTGTATAAAAAATAAATAGCAAAAAAAAATTATTTAAAAAAAAATTTGTACTTTTGTAAATAACGAATTTTGGTAATGTGACATAGGTACCTTTAAACAAATTCTAATAATTTTATTAATTTAAGGTATCATAATTTAATATAATAGTCACATTTTAAAATAATATAATGCCTTCTTATTTATTTTATCCAATTAAATAGATAATATACGCCGTGTATAGCCCTAGGGGATTGGAAGCGGTGATTTTCTGTCTTTGTCTAACACATGTGGAACATAGGAATTTAGATGTGTTTTCATTCCAACGTACCGATAGATCAAGTGGGGTGATAAAAATTCTAGAAACATATTTGAATTTGTCGTCAAGTCTACTAGAGATCGACTTCCCAGATTTTTAAATTTTTGATTTTATTTTCTCCAAACATTTAAATATTTAATTTCCTATTTTAGTACTAATTTTTAGAATTTAGGGGAATAAAAACAAAAATGTTGGAAAGTCGATCTCAAGTGCCTAGCCATTGTAGTATAATATTGTTGTTTCTTTGAAAAAAACGTTAATTGACGTTGCATGGCATATTGGCATGTATATATAATATTATATTAATATAAGTAGATATAGACGAACGTAAAAGCATTTTGAATATTAATTGTTTG